AAAAAAGAAAAAATGAGAAAAAAATGGAAAAAAAAATGGAAAAAAAAAATATATAAGACCAACTGGTGTTTCATGTTAGATATAGTATACTTCCTATTGCATTATTAACACACTTACGGATCTGTAACTACCACATAGTGACATAGCAAATGCACGATACCATCACCACAACAACACCAAGGATGAATATTGTGTCATCTATACCCGTATATATATATACATATATATATATAATACACGCACACGCATCTTCGGTTCATGTATGCATATATATACATACACATATACAGGATACGTCGTAGCAAAGAAAGTTGTTCGTGTTTTCTAAAAAGAGGTTACCACTCACTACGCTTGCCAGACTTGGAAATAGAGGGATGCTCGCTTCGTACGCCTATGTACGACTCGACGCGCAAAAATTCTTGCAAACGTGCATGCACATCTCCCTCGATTTCTTAGATCTCGCGTATTTCCTTCTCCCGTTCTCGTTATTCTCTCCTACGTTCCCGCCGTCCGCCCGCCCGCCCGCCGTCGCGCGACAAAACGGGCCACCGGCCGTCCATTTACGGGGAAAAATATAAATTTACTAACGGCTAGGGAAACCGTCCTCGCGAAATTATCCGCAATCGCGATAAAAGATATTCGAACGAGCCAGAGGAAATACGTGAAATCTAAACGTAATTTTGACCGTAATGATAGATATTTATAGGTCTTACCATCGAGTCCGTCGAGCATTTCTGGGGGATTATGGTGTTCAGACGATTCAATTCCTGACACGCCATCGTTTAGCGTGCCTGTTGTTGCTCCTCCTTCTTCTCCTAGCAGTCCAACTGGATGACCCTGCACACGTCACGATTATACATTATAAATTCAGCTGTGAACAAAGGCACTTCGAGGCATTTATCTACGAATTCCTCCGTCTCGAAAAATATCATGCTACTTTGTTGCTATCGCGTTCCCATACTATGCTAAATTAAACAACGATTAGATAGAGGAGAACGGGGAATAGAAGCGAATTTTCGTGTAATTCGTGTAATACGTGTAACATATATGGGAACCTAAAATAGTACAACAGCGGAATAATAATGAAAACGAACAGATTATATTGATATATGAAACACGAGATTGCGATTAAACGGTATTACTTCGTCTTTCTTGTCCACGAACAATTTTACAATTCGAATTTGCAAATAATAAAACGGAATTTATAACAGTCGCTTTTTATTCGCTATATACATAATTAATAGTAACAAGTAGAGGAAGAAAGTAACGTGTCGATTTCATGAATGACGATTTATAGTGATTCATAGAAATCCTAAATCCATGCTTATTCGTATCATAGGACAAAATAAGCATTCTCTGTAATAAAAATATCAGGCTTTCGTTCACGTTCCTCGCTAGAAATATTCATCACAGAAGCGCATCACCACAAAAATGCACATGCTTTGGCAATTCGTTTCTTTCTAACAATATTTTTCAATGTTAACAACGCACATCGTCGTGTCACGGCTATGCAAACATTGTTACATAAAAATATTTGGTCCGAAAACCCATAATTATATTTTAATATATTCAATCACCTCGTAAAAGCATAAATATATTTTTTTTCCATTAAAAATAACGTTAAATATGCGGGTGTATTTTTCGCTTAAAAATCTACATCTTTCTTCGACGAAGTTAATTTCGTAAACTCGAACAACCATTGCGTTTTAACGTAACATTAAAAATAAATATCTAAACGAGCTATAATTTTTATAAAATTCTCTACCGTCTAATATTTACTAAAATATCTGAGATTTCGAGAAAGTGTTTTGCTTGAATGGAACAATTTTAACGTACATGTTACATTTTACAATTTCAACTTAAAAGAATGAAACGTATAGTAAGAAAATGGATAATAGAATTAATTATACTAATATAAAATACGAAAGAACATTACAATTCGAATTAAAAATCGTAACTCGATTAAAAATATAAAATATAAATCGCATCGAACATTGCGTTGAGTGCCATTTTGTAAACTTCATTTGCTTGGTCGAAAATTAATGAATAAAATCTCACAAAAGAAATAAAGAGAAATATCCTGTTTTAACTAACATATCTATAATGGTGGAGAAAATAAAAACTGCTCGAAGGTGGGTACATGCTATAATTTAAGTTTACTGAAAATGCATAAATCCTACTTTAACCATTAACTAAAATTGAGTATAATATTGGAAAAAGAACATATACTTTTAAACAGTTTTGAAAACAATACGGTATGAGCATGCTATTAACAAGAAACAAATGACATACAATTATACTTTATCAAAATGATTGGTATGATTGGTAATAGTTGCATAATCTTAAACAATTTGACATACATGCTGACAAAGCTTTATAATAACAGAAAGTAAAAAAGTTTACAATGTTTTCCTACGTAACATTTATACCTCGCTTTGCATAAGAGTACTCTAATGGTTGAAATTAGACTGAATCTTAATTGAGCAAAATTAATCACAAATCAATTGTTATTAAGATGCAATTATAACGAAAAATCAACAGGTTTCCATGATGTATGCATAACTTTCTTTTGCTTCGCTCTCTTTAGCAACACACAAATTGTGAGCCTTGCATTTATCATGATGATTCACAATTTCGAGTCTAAAATTACCATTCCCAGCAGCAAATGAAGTACGTATTTCAGGAATAGAATCACTCCACTTCCTACAATATTTACAAAACATAAGATTTGATCTTTCGTCATACTGAAGCCAAGAATACATATCTAACCACCCAACTTTGAATCTACCAGTCTTTCTACTCTGAGAAACAGAACGCTGTGAAATGTTGCATAAAGTTGATTGAATAACAGACATGTTTTGCTGCGGATTTACAATAATTGCCCCATGTATATCATTGTTATGGTGAAGCTTTCTAACATTTACATTATTTTCAGACAGTGAGGCAAATAAGGAATTGAATTCTGCATTTTTGCTTTTGTGTAAATTAGATTTCAAAGATATAGGTTGATTTTGCGAAGATTTATAAGAATTATCATAACATTCAGATGTGGTCCCTGACATATTGATAGACATAGAACCTCCAGCCATGATAGTGCTTTCGCAAGAAACTTGTATCACAGCAGGATCTTGTTGATTTTGGGTCATGTTCTGTACATCCATAGTTTCGTCACTCTTCCCATCTCTCTGAACATCCCACTCCAAATTAGTCTGTCAACAGAGAAGGAAAGGATATGTGTTTAATCAACACATCTTCAATTTTGTCTTTTAGCATATAAGAAGCCAATTTTGTATCTCTATTTAGATATCCCTTCCTTCCCATGTTTGTTTCGACTGAGTAGTTGTAGGAAAATAGTAGAAAATCATTGATTATGGGAACAGTAACGAAACTTCATACTTTTTGCATATTCTACTAGATATAATGCACAATTTCGCGCATAGCTTAGAGCTACGCATGAAAAATAGTTATTTATGGTAAGTTATATATTAATCGTATAGTACAGGAGCAAAAAAGGAATAAAATAATGTTCTGAAATAAAAGCAAGTCTTAACACAAAAAAATTAATTCGATTAAGATACATTACATCAAAATTTACACTACACTAAAGCTGTTTTAAAATACTAAAAATATAAAAAGAAATAATAATTAATGTTAAAAATGATTATGGCAAAGTTTATTAGAATTGTATGAAATGATTTGAATACTGCATCAAATAGTGAAAAAATTATTTGTTTTCAAACTGAACAAATAACTTGATATGACAAAGTAATTGTGAAAGAAATATGTTTTAAATTGGTACATGAATTTCAAACTACGAAAAGCATATTCATGCTTATTAGCATACATCTACAAATTGCCACACACCGCAAGCTACTTACATGCTATAAATTACATCGACATGCATATTGCGATGACAGTTTTGTTATAAATATCTACAAACTACTTATATAAAGAATTACTCACTGGGAGGGAAATGTTGTCATGGAAATCTGATAAATGATGATCTAATTCTTGCTTGATCGAAGGTTGTGGCTGTGAAGCAGGAGACATAGGTCGACCACCATCTTCCATATCACCTCCCATGGCATTATTTAACTTTGGAATCACGGGAGGGCTTGATTTGTAACTACATTGTGATGATGCCTGAAAAATAATAAATTACAACATTATTCATTGATGCAGTATTAAAACTACTTAAGAATGTAATTTTAATATTTATATTCAATTTATTCACATTTATAATACAAAGAAAGAATCCTCTTTATAATTCTCAAAGAAGAATTCTTTTGAATCGATGAAAATTTATTTCCTTCATTTGTTATGGCATATTATTAGTAAAATTTCCACTAATACACGTGTAGAAAAATTATTTAAAGAGAAGAATTATTCAAAACATGATTATTTCTAAAGGATTAACGTGTGACAGGAATGATATTTTAAGATCAGCATTTGCTATATATCTCAAGGTTAAAAGTACAGATATTTGGAAAGCTGTCCAATCACACAGATATACAGTCTAATGATAATAAAATATGATCATTATCTGCGAATTTTAAGCGCTACCTGTAAGAAAATTTTGCGCATACACACGTGACTACACGTGTATACGTGTACGCACGCATGCACAACGCACGCGCGCAAGTTCGCGGGAGCATATGTTTTGAAAATAATTTCTATAAAAGCCATAAATTTACATCAATCTAATATCACAACGTAAATTTGCGAACAACATAAAAAGAAACAATAATTAAATAACAAAACAAACACCCAATAAAATAAATGGAACACACTTTTTCTATACTCCATGTTTAAAAATTATAATATATATATATATATATATAGTTATTTGGGTACTATTAAAACTTTTCATTCAATCTTGCCAACTCACAAATTTCGTTTTTATATAAATCACAATTTAAACCTTAAATTCTGTAAATGAAATTTAGATTATTCAGAAATGGAGCAACTGGTGTTTACAGTTATTAAATTGCACAAAAATCTGAGTAATCATGGAGTTTGGAAAATCTGAGCTGTATTACTTTATTTTGCAACTTTCTCTTGTAGAAAAACAGAAAAATATTAACAAACACGATAGGATGTAAAAAAAAATAATTTTGAAACACTTAATAATAATAAATTATGGTGAAACTTGTAAAGCAATCGATCAAAGCTATCATAATCATATGTCGGACATAAAACCGGTACTAAGAAAAATTATTGGAAAGAAAAAGTAGAACTATTTAATAAGAAAAACATAAATCTAACGATACTTACATGCACAAAGTAAGAAGATGGATATACAATATTTAAAATTACATACCTGAGAATCTGACATGAACCGTTCACTGGGTGGGCCACTAAGGGAAACATCATAGCTGCCCGAAGGCTTTCGTTTCCTCTTTTCAGGAAGAGACTGAAGGTTAGGCGATTCAGTATGCCTAACACCAGTTTGCGTTTCTGGTTCTGGCGATGGACTTTTCTCTTCTGCCTTGTTATTTACACTATTATCAGTGAGGCCTCTAATCTGTAATGCCTCAGCTGTTTTAAGGAACATCGGTAGCAGATGCTGACTAACGTTAACTTCTCCCTTATACATAAAGTGCAGCAATGCCTTCATTTCCGTTTCATTGACATCCTTCAGGAATATAATTGGATGGGGATGGGTATTCTGGAGGAAAATGCTCTCGAAATATGGACTGCATGCAGAGAGTATCGTCTGGTGTGCCTTGAAAGTCTCTCCAACACACGCCAGGGTAACGTCGCAGAGTGCCTCTCTGGCAAGCAAGGAGCTGAGAACGTCTGTGAGGTTGGCTGGATGATTGTTCCACCGTAGGCAATACTGTTGGTCCATCTTGTCTATCTCCAATCCCGACCCTACAACCAAACTAGCTGCCCTGAACTGTCCACACTAGAGACTTTGATCACCCTGACTACAGAATGACTCCCTAACCCTTAAAACGTTAACTCACACGCCTTCTTCACGCACACTCTCCTATATCGGCCTGACGATATCTCCTCAGAGATTATATCGCAACTCTAGACCCACACAACTTCCTCCGTGCTTCTGCAAATGTGCCACATTGCAGTATAACTGTAAAACCCTTCAGGGTTCACGCGTCGCTACTATACGTGCCGAAAACATTTTTTCGCATAACCTCGGCAACCGACAAATAACTCTGTTCGTGAATTCACTTCGACAAATGTAGCGCGAATTAAAAGAAGGTTAGAGTATTAATTGCGACGCAGTATGTGTCACCCACGGATATGATAATATCCTATATTCGAAGATAATGTTTTCGGCAATGTCAATATTCGCGAGGCTTGGGCGCCATTGTCGGCCGTACTCGTCTAGCCACGAGCCTTCTCGCGAAAACTCGATTTGTTGATGCTCGATTTCTAACCATTCAAACACGCTTCACACGCGGCTTTATTTACCTAAACCCAGCGCCAGCTAACTAACGTATCGTATACACTAACGACCCGAGTTTGTTTATCGTCCCGATGATTACTCACCTTTCGCAAACTTTTTGCCATTACAACGCCACCCGACCCTTAACGTCCACTACCATACCAATCTGCCAATGCCTACGGCCTTATTTTTAAAATACTTTTGACCTTCGTGCATCTGCCGGGGGGAATGGCGCGAAGGGCGCTCGAATTCAAACGTTACTAGTCACGCAATATAACTTCTCTCAACAGTTTTTCGTCAACTAAACGTTTCTTTTCCTCCAAATTTCGTATATTCTTACAGAAATACTCGCACAAACGATACATCATTACGAAACAACGATAACTTTGAAAAATCCTCGTTGTTCTTTAATAAATGTTTATCCGTCTTTCGAAAAGTAGAGAATAATAAATTATATATCAAATATCGCTCGTTTTCAGACTTTTCTTTCTTTCTCAATTTTCATATAGGGACAATAATTTATCGTTAGAACGATAATAAACTCGTAAAGTCGGAATGAAACGAATACGTGATACATAACCTATGCGGATAAAGTTATCCGTTAAAACGCACAAACTATAGGATACGTAAACGTTAAAAGTTGAAATAAATAAACAAATGTCCGATTGAATTACCTTTTAAGCGAACGTCGAGATAAACGCATTTATCTTATTGACTGGCCGAAGTGCGATAATTCGGCAGAAATTATGCTCCGTTCAATGGGCTCTTTTCTCTCGCCGACAAAATTCCTATCACTGCGTTACCGAAAATATAAATGATTTCAATCGTCATATTTAACGTTAAAGTTCATTCAAGGATTTAAAACGTTTCCACAACGACCGGAATAAAACGAAACAATTTCTATTCATTCTAAGCGGTTTATCGTCGTAATTAAACAAAATTTATTACGATAAACGTAATTTCTTTCTTATCCACTCCTTCCTTTTTTTTTTCTCTCATTTTCTTTCTCTATTTCCCTTTTCTCTTTTCCTTTTCTCCTGTCGCAAATAATTTTACGATCGCGTTTAAAGGCGTCGTGCGATACTTTCGAAAGTGTTACACGGAAGTTCGGCTTCCCGTGAAACGTGACAAACTATACGTTGTCGCATTATTGTAATGCACGTAATGCATGTAAAATTCATAGATCCTTGAACGAGGTACTATAAAAAGAAAGTCTTAAAACCCGTTTTCTCTTTGGTAATCCGAAAAGTCGAAGCTGCCTAATCCCAATGATCGTTTCGCGCGGTTCTTATCCAGCATCTGCCTCTACGATTCGTAAACACGAGTATCTAGAAATATTTTCCACGTTTTCCTTTCTTTTCTCGATTTTACTTTTCTTCTTCTTTTTCTTCCCCCTTTCGGTGCCCTAAGTCTTCTTCCACGTTTGTTAGTTTCGCGGGCAAACGGGCGCGTTTGCGCTACGTTATACGAGAGGGGATTACATTTCACGGAAAATCATGCAGTGCAAAGGGGTCGTTCGGCTTCATTTGACTGCAATAAACGGTAATTCGCGCAAATCGTAAGCTTTCTGATATTAATTTCGGCCGTCCGCGAGCCGAACGATAATCGCGTTAACCATACGAAATCAATAGGTAGCGGGAAAATTGGAAAATCTCCTTAATCGGTTTTCGAATATGGATTTACAAGCTTTGCCCGGCCATTAACAGATTTAATCCGCACTTTGATTGGCACTGCGCAAAATTACTATTCGCCTGCTTGTCCCCGGCGAAGATACGGGCGTGTTGGTAAATAGGAGTACGGTGTATTAAGCGGATAACGCAACGAGTATAATTGAATTTATCTCGGGCCCGGTGTTTCTGAGGATTTAAAACGTTAGCCCCGAAGAAGGACAATATCGCCGCCATTAGGGCGTGCCGCGGCATTTTTAATGGTTAACCGAGTGGAAAGGTTTAAAACGATAAGTTGGTTTAAAGAAAGCTTCGTTTTCGCTTCGCGTTTCGCGGCCAGGCATCGTGATAAATTATGACAGACATTATCCCTGACGAAACGCGTCTCTCTTTCAACGGAGACGCGCGAGCGAGCGAGATGGAGAAGATTAACCGTATCAGGAATTACGATGAACTCGAAATTCTCGGTGGAAGAGAGGAAAAACTCGAACGATTCGTTTACTCGAGCCTGCTCGCGTCGCTCTATATACATGTTTCCGCGAAATTTCACCCGATGTTCCCTCTCCTCCTTTCCCCAGTTTCCTTTCCTCTCTTCAACCTTCTCCTTTTCCCGTGCGTATGACCGCGGGAACGCGTAGGAACGCGTAGGAACGCGCGGGAAATAATGGAGAAAATAAAGAAAGCGGAATAGACGGAAGGAGGAATCGTATCCGGCGGTATCGGGTGGGTATTTGCAGGTTTCGCCGGCGAATAATTACTAGAAAGGTCGCGGTAGTTGGCCATTAGCGCGTTTACGCCCGGATCTTTTAATCCCGTGGAGGAAGAAACCTATCGCTAACAAAGAGCCTGCGCGCTTGCTAGACATTAGCAACATCATCCTGGGTCAACTAAATGGTTACGCAATTAATTGTGCGAACCGGTTCCCGGAGCTGGTCGGCTGTTGGTACTGTTGGAGAAAAAGAATCCGCTTCTAAAGCGATGCGTTTCGCGCGTGTTCGAGCCGGACTCGTAAACGTGCTCGAGCGTAGACGTCCGTGTAATCGTCGGACGGAACGAAAATCGACAGGAATATCCGAGAGTAAGAAGTAGCGTGTGTGCGTGTGTGTAGAGAAAGATCAAAGATCGAGAACGTCGAGGACAGACACAGAGAGAAAAATTGGTAAAGCTTATCTTTAGGCAAGGAACGGACCTGTAGATCCTCCATGCAGGTGGGATACCGGCGAGCATCACCGTTATCTGCATAATTATCTCGCGGTGGCCTTGATTGTTCCACGAGGAAAACAAGTGGAGAAGGCAGGTATCGCGGCGTGTGTATCGTTGCCCGATACGTCGCCGCTTCTCGCCCTAGCGCGGAGAGTAGTCGCGCGAGGAGCTGACGTAGCGCGGCGAAAAAACATTTCCCTGTCTTCCGTGCGGCTGGCTGAGAATCTTCAGGGACGATCTTGGCGCGGTGCACAGCGGAAGTGCAGCGATGCCACGCGGCTCGCGCGATCGCTTCGCAGCGCGCATGCCCGCGCGCCAACTGCGCGCGCATACATTTCCGCGCAACTTGCGCACCGCGCGCCCCGTTACGTAGCGTTGCGCCGCGATATTCGCTAGCCCGCGATTTCTTCTCTGCGCCGCGGCCAATTCGATTCTTATCGCGAGAGACGGGACCACGCGCACGCGGTCCTTTTGTCGCGTTTCCATTACTCGCGATACTCGCGCGACGCTCGGTCCGATGATCGGCGCGGACCGAAATTCTCGCAGCCGCGGTAAGAGTCAGCCAAGATATACGCGATTCGCGGCGGAACAAAAAGCGACACAGATTCGCGGCGATGCGGTAAAGTTTAATGCAGTGGTAAGAAAGTTCGCATAAAATACGCTGCCGCGATAAAAGACGCACGCTGCTGCGCTCGGCCATACGTTTGCTCGGCGACAATGCGGCGGTGTGCAGCTTAGGAGGAGTGCACGCTTTTGAACGCGCGATCTCGAAACGAGCGGGACATGCTCGCGGCGCGGAAATGGGGACCGGTATCGAGCGTTTCTCCGCGTTTCATAAGCATAATAGGCGGACATGAATCGCGGTTGAACGCCGCGAACGAATTTTCCTCCCTCTCGGATCGAAGGATCCGATCGATGCGTCATCCTGACGGCGGCGTCACGGCGCGTCCGGGAGACGGCTGGTAAAAAAGAGTATTTGCCTTCTGTTCCCTCTCGTCGTCTTTTTCAGAAACGATCGAGTGTAAACACGTTGTTTGGCGCGGATTTATGCTCGAACCTTCGGCCAGCTCGTTGTAACGGAAGCGCCGTTTGCAAAAGCGACAGGGAATGAACGATAACGGTTCGCCTGATCGTAAAGCACTGTATAGCTTTTCCTTTCTCGTTGCCGCGATAATATTTTTTCAATTTTCCTTCCCTTCGATGTTTCTTTTTCTTTCCCTCCCTTATCTCTCTCCCTATTTATGCCCTTTGTCTTAATCCACGCGTAACTCGATGTACGCGGAGAGCTATACGCGCGCGCGATAAATTATGGATCGTTTCCCACCGCTCATCGCGGCAGATTAAAAATTAATCTTGATATACCGTTATTGCAATATTTGTCGACCTGAATGCACCGTCTAAGGAGTTACGACGTTTTGTATTTGCATACGCAAAGCACGCTGCCGAAGAAATATCGCGCAAATAATTCCGCGAAAATTCTAAAGTACCGCCGTTCGCCTTTTATTCGAACCTTTGCCACCGAAATTCCCCGCTTTATCTTCGCGGTTTCTATTTTTCGGCCGCGAAACGGGCGGCTAGAATTTCCGTGAAATTTGCATGGCAAACTTTTGCAAAAACCCGTCCCCCGTTGGACGTCGCTTTCAAATTACATCTTAAGGAATATTTCGTCCGTCTGGCCCGTGAAACGTTTTATGGAGTCCGAATAAACGAATTCCGATCCCGGAATACCATTTCGCGTATTTCGAATTCTGATTCGGTCGAAACGTATATTTCTCCCTCTTTTTTCCCCCTTTTTCTCTCATTCTCTCTCTCTCTCTCTCTCTTTCTATTTCCTTTTCCTCCGCCATTACACGGTGCCCGGTAAAAAAATATCGAATTTAATATTTATTCCATTACGCGACTAGGTAAATTGCATTTTTAGATGCGAGCTAGATAATGAGTAACGCCCGGCTGCATATTTATTCGCCGTGCATCTCGACTAATTACGAACCTTAAATTGAAACGACCGAGCGAGGAACAACGTTTACGCGGTTTCGTTCGAATGTAACCTTCCCTGACGCGAAATATCTCTGCGTAAAGTTTACAGTCTCGCGCGGAATACTTTATCGCGTTTGACGGTTCGTTGCCTCGAATTAACCGCCTTGCGATACTTTTGCATCGCAATGGAGAAGAAATAGATCGTCTCCTGCCCGCTTATCGCGTAATAATTGAGCAAAGATCAGTCGTTCCGGCACACGGCCGGTTTCTCTCGTCGAGATCTCGTCGCGCGGAGCCTCGTCGATGAATTCTCGTCGAAG